AGAATGAATAATGTCACTTGACTTGACTTCTTGCGTCGATCAGTGTTGAAGCAAAAATATAGACAGAACTAGAACTTAGGAACAATTTATTGTCTCTCATAACACTTTAACACGACACAGTCGCAGTATCAATTTGAACGAAAAGAAGGCTCATTGAATGTCATATGTTATAAAAACCTGAATCAGAAGAGAGTGGCATTCAAAACTGTCCATGAAATATCAACGGTGCATGTCCACAAGTAACCTACCACTCAACATTCAACACGTCTTTTATTGGGACGGAAAAAAGGATTGACGCAAATGAAATTTAGTGTAAAGTTATTGTCGAATGAGTGGTTTTCCCATATACGGCTGCTGACATCGATTCTATGAGTTTAGGTGTTCATTCGTCAAATTATGACTCTCGCTCAGTGTGACTCAAGCAAAAATTGAAATCGATTATAAGATGCGCCATCCAGAGGAAACATTGTTGTTTTGTTATTGGTGTCGTTGAAACTTCTTTTTCGCCATATCTTAAGTTCGTTCCACTCAACCAAAACGACATGAATTGGCAGTAACCCTTCTATACGAACATGCATGCATGCACACGCTTGTACTGTTTTTCATGAATCAAAAGGATGGTACTGGGAAAATGATTTCTTTTTGTTTTCTGACTGAAAAATTCTAGTTGCGTATTCGTTATTTTCATCGCTGTCATTCTTTTTATACATCAGACATTATTTACCTGTTACTTCATTGAAAATAACTATATTTGAAATTTGTTTTAAGTCTAATTATCTAAACTTATCAATACTATCTATATTCACCAGTGATGGGGAAGCTGTCAGCGATTCATGCCTGGCAAAGATCGTTCATCAAATAATTTTAACCAGTTCCGGTTGGAACATATTAAGTAAAGATTCTTGCTAATGTTAAGATGAAATGAGAAATTCGCTGAATTCATGTTTTGATGACTGTTCTGATTAAGAGCAGAAAATTTTCACGCATTTTTAACAGCGCTTCTCCTTGAAAAAACAAAAAAAACTTCATGTTATACGTAATTTTCCATGAAACTCGTGAGTGATCACCTAAGAATTATCATATTAAATTCATCAAGCATGCAAATTCTATTTTATTTAACCTTCACGGTTACTTAACATGAAATTGTTAGTCAAATGATCTCCAAATGATCCAGCTGACATCAGATTACAAAATTGGCCCCAGTGCATTATTGAGTGAGGTTAACCATTTTGCTAGTAAATGATTAGGTTTGTTAAACTGCTGCATTAGCAGTTTTGAATTGTAAATTAAGAAAGAGATTTATTGTATCACATATGAATACAATGCAAAAATTCAGCCAAGTACATTAAAACTTCGCAAAATGACCATCGAAAAGCATTTTTATATATTACACAAACAGGGTCAAAGTCAATGTTTGCGGATGTGAGTTGTTGTGTTCGTGTGTGCATCATCACTTCAGAAGTTCAGTTGCATAACGTCCGCCTGAGGTGTATATCTACCCTGCATGCTCGGATCAAAGATGTGACCATCCCAACCGACGCCGGTTAGCCACGGAAAACCGCCTGCACCGTTTTGACTCCACACCAGATCCAGTTGACGCTTCAAGCGAGCCGCTCTAAAACTTCAAAAATATTTGAAAATGCTTGCTTGTCCAGTCAAATTCAATGGTAGATCATCAGTCTCATCTGCAACCTCATTCGGGCTTTCTCTGATGAAAAGAGATTTTAACCAATTCGTTTAAAATCTCTACCGAATACCAAAATTTCATTGGTTTGTGAGCGTTATCGAATAATGCAAAATGCCAAAACGCTAACGTTTCCATAACAGACGTCCTGCTGATCATTGGAAGTGATAAAGCCTCGTGAATACAAAACAACAGCAGAATAACAGCAAAAACTCCTTGTTTCCACATTGTTTCTCGGTTGATTTTACTAATCAAGTGGTCAAACGGCTGAAACGAAATGCATTTTCGAACAGATTCTTCATTGCTCACGAATAAAGAACGCATTACATCCTCGATTTTCAGTGCGCGTACCCTTTGATACAATTATAAAAACTAGGAAAGTAAGAAAAAACTGATCACATCAATAAAGTATGCGAAAGGTGTAAACAAGTCGTGACTGAGCATTTCTTTGGTGTTTGAAGCATTGAACTGTTGAAACGAGTCAAGTGAACAAGTAAGTAACTGAAATGATCTGAAAAGAGCATTTTTTTGGCACTTATGGAAATATCAACAGCATAGAGGAAAGGTGATTCCATATAAATTCGAAAATTCCATGATATCAGTCGAAGTCGGAGACATTTCGAGAACCTTTTGAATGGAAATGTGGAAATTGACCATTTATTAGTAACTTATCGCAGACAGTGACAAAGAAATGAATTCACTGAAAACAATTATGATATCGTTTATTTTTTGGACGTTTGAATTTGATGTATTCTGTTGCTTATTCAGCAGCACTTTTGACGGTTGTTAATGATGCTGTCGTTAACGGGAAACTTGTTTTCGGATAACTTCAAGAATATTTCTCGTTTAGACTTATTCGCTGCTTTTATTTGTGTAACTAACCACAATTCCACAAAATTCTCTCTTTCCGCTGAACATTTTCTATGAGTCGTTTCATTTGTTGAGAGTTCCTTCTTTTTTATCACTCAAGCACATCTCATCATAAATCATTTTCATGTCGATCTGTTTCATCATGCAGCTTCCAGAACGTGTTCTTCTTCTCTTGTGGCGAATTACACATGCTGACACAAGCGAGTGCTCGTTTGAGCTTCGTTAACATTAAAAAAAGAACAGTGACGGTGTCTTCCACAAAGGAACTGATTTTTCGCTTCATAAGAACTTTGTGCTCTGGCTAGAAAATGTGTGGTGCAGAAAAATTCTTGAGAAAATTTCACCGATCCCAATGTTTTCTGATCACTGGAAAAGTGACGTTAATTACATCTAAACTAGTTTCAGACAGCGTTTTGTATCTCTTCCAGATTCCCCTCGGAAATTGATGAGTGCTAATTCGTGAGAGTTTAACGTCTCATGCTTTTGACAGCTCTAGCACCGTTTTCAAGCCATCTGTATGCTTGGATTCGCTCACTACCAAAGTGGTTTCTTGACACATTCACAAAAGCACTTCTTCACAACTTCTCTAGTACCAGAGAAGCTTTTTGAGAACTAGTTTAATGTTACAATTTTATGCCACATAGACGATGAATAATGTAAAGCATTGCTACAGGAAGGAATATCAGTAGTATCTTCAGTAAACGACCAGTGTTTTGAGATTTAATTAACAGTCGTCTCATGGTTTGTCATGAGATCTTCCTTTCTTGGTATACACGCTTACTGTTCAAATACAATAAGCTGCATTATAAGACATATTCGTTGCTATATGGTACTCTGAATCAACATGGATACCTGGTCATGATCATTGCTATTGCATGATGATGTGCGATTGCATCAGAATGGATTATTGCGATACATTTATTGGGCAGAGACAGTACAGGTAAATATGGACGGATTACATTACAAATGAATTGTTTTCTAATTAAAAGCAGTGATTGGCTGTTCATTTGAATGTTGTTTGGTGATGGTGATGGCGTGTGTGTGTATGTGAAGATAAGTGAATGTGATTATATTCAGTATCATGCACCATTTTAACGAACAAACACAATTGACGACGAAACATGATGTGATAAAGTGATGGATGCGCGGACGCACGCACTTTTTCTGTTTTATTGACTGCTTTAAGCAGGTGGAGGAGCATCGCCTCCACCGATGTTCACGTCTTCGTAATTATCACCACCTTCCTGAAATCGACCGAATATGGAACGTTTTCTTAAGAGAGAGGAGAATAACTGAAGTATTTTTTTACTGACACCTTGTTGATATGGTCTGTCTTAAGCGAGAGATTCAACCTATCATGTGAGCAGGTTTTTAGATGAGA